GAGAGGGGGGGGGGGAGAAGATGCAGGAATAAAGCACATGCGAAGAATGAACCCATGTGGATTCTGGGATAAGAGGCAGCCAGCGGGAAGATCATTTCTAGAGGACATGCTCTTGAGAAGGAAAGCTGCCCCTGGTGGTGGAGACCCAGGATATTATTTCCTTCCTCTGACACCAAGAGCTGTGTTGATGGCATTCAGAGAGCTGGGCACCAAGCACTCAATGTAAACCGCTGATGACTAGTGGAAATGCCCTGATTATAGCAAGAGTCTCTGATGACTTTTAGGAGAATATGAGATGATCAGATGGGGTAACAAAGGCTGAAAATTCTGCTTCTATCTTCAGGAAGGAATGTGGTGAGAAAAGAAATGCCTCATTAAAAAGAAAGCCCCTCGGGCTCATGAAGCACAGTAGGAAATAGACCGAGGAGGGGTGGATGGATTTCACCAGCCAGGACATGCTTTTCCCGATAGATGTGGCTTCAGGAACCAATGGAATGTCAACAAATTTTTTGTCCTTGGAATGGTGTGCAATCCTGGAAAAGGGAACATAAGAAAATGGGTCAAACATCACAAATTGAAGGGAAGAAATTAGCAGCCAGCATTTTCGCTTCAAATGAAAAGGCAATGTAGTATTTTTTTAAAAAAATTTATTATGGTTTTATTTTATTTTATTTTATTTTGATACTGGGGATTGAACTCAGGGGCACTCAACCCCTGAGTCAGATCCTCAGCCTTATTTTATGTTTTATTTAGAGACAGTGTCTCACTGAGTTGCTTAGTGCCTCGCTGTTGCTGAGGCTGGCTTTGAACTCTCGATCCTTCTATCTCAGCCTCCCAGGCCGCTGAGATTACAGGCATATTCCACCGTGCCCAGCTTTTATTATGCTTTTAAAATGCCATTTGGATGAAATGTGTTCTGAATACTTCCAACATGATTGTCCTCTTTGAAATGCAAGCATGCCATTTGTCACCCAGTATTCAATGCAGCAAGTAAGTGAAACACAAAACTTTAGACAGTTTCTGGTCTTTTCTAGGACACCTGAACTTTGTAGGTCTCCCCCTCTTCCTCCTTTTCTTAAGGCATGTCCTACGATAATTATCATCTTACCGATTCTATATGAAAATTATTAAGCCCGGTTAACTGGGGCCTATTCTAAATAAAATTTTAAATTCACAAATGATTGCAGTAATTGAAAGTTCTGGTTGTGCTCAGGGATGCCAAAGCCTTTGGTTAGCGTGCTTTCCTCTGACTTTGCATCTGACCTGCTCTAATAGCTCTCTCTTGGAATACCTCCTCTGGATGCCATTGGGAGCTGGACACTCACCTAAACATCCATTTTCCAGGGTCTTGACGTTCCCTTGCTCTCATGAATTTTTCTTTACTCTTCCAATTCCTTGTCTTGCTGTTCCATTTCACCTTGTTTTGTTATTATGGGCACTTGCTGCTAATTAGATGGTGCTTGTTTTAGTGTGGGAGATAAAATTGTCTTCTGATTCCTGCAGTGGACCTTTTCCTAGGACAGTCTTCTTGTTGAGTCTTTCCAATAATATCCCCTTATCTTTATTTTGTGTTTACTCACGACCTCTGTGTTGATTTAAGTTCTATCTCTGTAGGCAAATAAGTTGGTTGGTTCATTCAGCAGATGTTTACTAAATAGCCACTACATGCCAAGCACTATTCTAGGTGCTAAAGATACAGAAAAGAACCAAATAGACAAAATCTCTGCCACATGGAACTTAGTCTCTAGTAGAATAAATAAACAAGGAAGAAAAAATAAATAACTGCAATCACCACTTTTTGAGAGTAGTACAATCTTGTTAGAATTAGTCCAATTCTAACTATATCTAGTCATTCACTTAATGAAATTGGTTAGATTAACCTTGGAAATAAAACTATATTAAATATTTGGGCAGGAGCAGTACAACCTCAGAATTCTTCCAGCAGAACATACTAAAACCTGAGTGAAGACATTGTCTCACCTTGTGGCACAAAATACTGCCACGTTTCAGCCCTCAGGGCCTCCACTGCCTCTGCACCAAGAGACCAACGGCATGATCTTTTGAAAGCCTAGAGTCGGGCTGCAGTTGACCAAGCTGTCCCAAAGAGATGGCCATCGCTTACAAAATACACCTTAAATGCAAATGTGGTGCTTGGGACTTACCATCCCTTGAGGTAATCCTTCTTGTTCCTTATTAACCAGATACAGGAAATAAAGTAAAGTTAATAGGCAAATCAATGCTCGGGTACTTAATGAATGGTAAACTTCTTGACAATAAAGTGGTAGAGGCCAGGCTGCATTTTAACTGTCAATAACAGGGCAATGGGAGGACTGGGAACTTGGGCTCTGCAAGCTGCATTTGCCTCTGAACCAAAATAAACATGCACGTGCATGTTTATATAGTCTAACCCAACCCTAATCCTTAGTGAAGCATAGACTGTTGATATCCTCTATCTAACGATACATTGCCTCATGCAGAGGAGTTCCTAGATGCTTGTCTATCAGCGAGTTGATAGTTATCTTTGTGTTGGGACAAGCTGAGCTTTAGTTCTTTTCAACTCTGCAATTATGTGAACCTAGGAACGTACAACCAGATATTAATGAAATTAGTCAATAAGCTTGATTTTCTAGTTTGTCTTCTTTGATATACCATGCCTAATCTCCAAAACTATTTATAAAATTCTTTCTTGGGAATTGCTTTCTGAGTCTGTGACTTGGACACAGATCCAAGTCTACAGGGAAAAGTGAGTGGTAAAACTTGTGACTATTAATTTATTTCTCCCAAAATTAGCTTATTTTCCAGCCTAGCTCATGAGGTTTCCCAATTATACAGAAAATATCTAAACCGTAATTTCACAACTATTTTATTAGTGGCTACATTGGTAGGAAAATAATAACATCCACCTGTACCTTAAACCTTTTCTAAATAAGCTGTACTCTGGGCAGAAAGAATAAACATAAAGTATAAAACAGGAATTTCATTGTCTCCTCTAACAAGGTGACTTGTTGAAAAGTAACTTGTACATTTACATCTCATGCTTTTAACAAATAAGGACTCTTTGTCTCTTATTGCTACACTCTGTTCATGCACAGGGACATGTGCCTGTCTTAGAACCCCTGAACCAGGGGTTGGTTTAGAAGTTTGTATCCCAAGGGCCATATGGAATTTGCTTGTGCATTTTTTTTTAAAGGGAGACCTGAGATGTGTCCAAAAGAAATGTTCCATGGAGAAAGGATTTCAAATTTTAACGAATTTGTCATTTACTGTTTTATCCTCACACATATACATACATATTTTATTCATTTTTTTTGTATTCTAAGGCAGTTAATTATTATTATTTTTTATTAGCTACATATGACATTACAATGATCTTGGCAATTCATACATTTGAATCAATTGGGGTATAATTTCTCAATTTTCTGATTGTACAGATTGCAGAATCACACTGGTCATAGAGTCACCTATACATATTTTATATATTGTCCAATCATTAGTTCCTGATTACCATTTACAGTAAACTTGTATTTTGTTCCGTGTGTGTGTGTGTGTGTGTGTGTGTGTGTGTGTGTACATGTGCTCACTTGCATGTTTATTTTTGTTCAGAGGCAAAAGCAGCTTGCAGAGCCCAAGCTCCCCTGAAGTCTCCTTTTCTGAGGTGAATTTACATGAAGGGCTGTGAATCGGGCATCTGTTGCTAGACTCTGCCATCTTGGCTCTTCACTCCAGACTGGAAACTTCCAGATGCACACTGGGCCTGCCCATCTTTTAAATGATCTCATTGACCAGAGCACTGGGTCTGGGGTCATGCTTGACATCAGTCTTTCAAAATCCACCATGTAGGTAAGACCCAAAGTCAAATGTGCTTGTTGTAAACTTGGTTAAATGGGGTAGAAGAGAGACGCGTCACTGGGGTTTGGAGACCCAGCTGGAAGAAGACTTGCCTTTCTCTTTCCACTCTTCTTAAGAGAAACCAATTTTAAGAGCAACCAACCAATATCAAGCAGGGACTGGGTGTCTAGAAACTTCTGTGAAGATCTGGCTGCCCTCCTTGTGAGATCTGCCCTACACGCGCCACCTCCATTCTGCACCCACAGGGCCCTAGGCTCCTGTCCTCCACTAGATGACCTCTCCTCTAAGGGAACTTGGTCAAGTGAAAGCCACAACAGCATGGTTTGGTGTAAGCGGTTCGCTGTGCGCTTCAGGGGGTGACGTGCTTTGCCATGGCTGGCTCTGTCTCCACTCAGCAGGTCCGTGATGGGCGTCGGTGCCTTGTGCATCGACCCTTGCTGCTCTTGTGTTTTCCCCTCGTCACAGCTGGGTGGGCTGTTATTTGTTCCATGTGGTACTAAGAGGCTTCGCAAGGTGAGTTCTGTTGACTGTGATGAACATTCTCCTGCATGTCACTTGGGGCCTGTAGCCTCGTTCCTGTTGTGGACACCTGGGGGTGCATGTGTGGTGATGGACTCTCCATGCTGGACCGTGGTGGACACTGCCCAACTGAAAGCGTTTGGAAAGCAGGAAGGTGACTTCAGAGCACCTCTCTATCGCCCACAGACAGCACTTGTTGCTAAGCAACTCTTTCCTCTTTCACCTCCATCCACTGAGTTATTGGACAAGCCCTGCTTCTGGGAATGCCAAAAGGCCTGTCTATTTTTAGGCAGAAAAGAAAGACTACCCAGTACCTTCTGCCCACAGCCTTACTCAGTAGAGCAGATCAATATGCTCGGCGCTGATGAGGGTTCTCGGAAACCTATAAAGGCCCCGCTTTCCTTGCTCTCCCTCCATTCCTCCCATCATCCGTCAGACGTGCTTTCCTGCACAGTGGGCAGGGAGGTCCGCGGGAACCGTAAAACATGAGGGTTCTCTTTCTTTTTGCTGTCTTCTTCTGTTTGGTCCACACGAACTCAGGTAACTGACCCCTGGTGGCCCTGGGGAAGGTAGTGCAGGAATGCCATTTATGAGTGCGGCAGCATGTGGAGCGTGGGCAGGGTGCCCCGTGGTGTCAGTGGGTGCAGGGGAGCCACTCGGGGCTCAGGTCCAGGCCACCATGGCCTCCTTTGTGAAGAGGTTATTTAAGGTAGATAAAGAAGAGTCATACACAAGAAGGGCAGGTGTGTTAAGTGCTCACTTCAGTCTGAGAAGGAAATCATGGTCACACAAGTGTCAGAGCAGGAAGGGAGCCCAGTGCTGTATGGCAGCCCTGCAGTCCAAGGGGAAGCCAGGGTCAGGCAATGAACAATTACGGTCGTGGGAGGTCTTCACACTTACAATACCTGCCCCATACACAGCCTAGTTTCTTTTTCTCTTTTTGATACTGAGGATTGAACCCAGAGGTGCTTTATTTATGAGATACATGCCCAGCCCCTAATTTTATAATTTTGAGATGATTTCTAAGTTGCTGAGGCTGGTCTCAAACTTGAGCTTCTCCTGTCTCAGTCTCCAAAGTTGCTGGATCTATGAGTGTAAGCCACCACACTTGGATTCCCTAGATTCTTTAAAAGGAGACTGACACCTTAATGTTGAACTAACTTTCTCTCTCTCTCTCTCTCTCTCTCTCTCTCTCTCTCTCTTTCTTTCTTTCTGTGGTGGTACTGAAGATTGAACCCAGGGGAGCTTCGCCCCTGGACTGCATCCCCAGCTCTTTTTATTTTTTATTTTGAAACAGAGTCTTGCTAGGTTGCTGAGGCTGCCCTCAAACTTGCAATTCTCCTGCTTCTGCCTCCTGAGTCACAGGGATTATAGGCAGGCACAACCATGCCTGGCTTAACCTATTTCATAGATGAGAAAACTATGATGTGGCCATTTTAATGAGTTTTTGGAAGAAGTGAGTCTAGACTCCAGCTCCTCCAAGCCCAAGGCTGGTGGCGTCTCTGTCTCTGCTGAAGGCGAGATCCATACCTTCACCTGGCTCTCCCCTCTACACGGCGGCAAGGCTGACGTGGTCCTGGATCACAGTCCCACTGTGACGCTTTTAGACCACCCAGACCATTTTCACGACCCCGTGAGACCAGCACTATCATGGCTCCTGTTGTTAAGAACCTTTCTTATGGGAACACTAGGTGGCTGTTCTTGACCTGCAAGCCCTCTAGCCAAGGTGTCATTTCCTTCTTTTCACTGTGAGTATAAAACTGGACATTGGGCCACAAGCTGAGGATGAGAATTTCTTCCAGTCTCCTAGATACAAGACCTGCGCCCCCCGCCCCACCCATTATTCCACTTTGTTTTCTAAAACCCGCTTCTCCTCCTGCAAAGCACATCTTCCTCAGGTTTTTGGAGGGCACTGATACAATAGGTAGCCTCTCCCCAGGGCCTGCTGTGGGTCAGGTGGCCACACACACACACACACACACGCACACACACAGAGGCACACACATGCCGTGTGACCCTCCTGCAAGCTTGTGAGATAGGGATGGCTGTTCTGCTTTGGGGCTCAGAGAGCAAAGCTCCGTGAACCTGGGACTTGTCCAAAGAAGCTGAGCTTTTGCAAGCATTTGGAAAACCCCTGGAGTTGGGCTGTGGGCTGGGCCATTCTTGACTGTACTCCACGGATTAAAGATCGACCTGTTTTTGTTGGCTCCGCAGGGGACATCCCTCCTGGAATCAGAAACACTATCTGCCTCCTGCAACACGGGAAGTGCAGACTGTTTTTTTGCTACGCTGGTGAGAAAAAGGGTGATATTTGCTCTGATCCCTGGAATAGGTGCTGTGTACCAAATCCCAGCGAAGAAGGGAAATGGAAGGTGGCGAATCTGGAACCTAAAACGCAAGCTCCCGTAAGGCCGAAAGCTCTGAACATCACAAAGAATTAAAAGAACTTGTGGCTAACAGTCGGTGCTCAATAAACACTGGTCGACTGAATCTGGCACCGCGGTGAAGGTCTGGTGACAGCATCTTCTTGAGCGCTTCCTTACTTTGCCATTTTCTTTTTTTTTGTTCAAGGAGTTCCAGGATTTTGTGATATTTCATCTCTTTTCACTCTTCCCTCCTTTTCTTATTCCAGAGAGACAGAGAGAGAGAGCAGAGTAGAAAGCAAACTCCAAATTTTATTTTCACATGGCACAGAAATGCAGCCCATCTAATGGCCTCGCTTCCACCTAACGATCCCTGCACTAGCCTTCTTGCACTTATTCACACAGACTGCAAGGGGCCTCCGCAGCCATAACAGCAGTAGGTCACACTTACATAGAATTGTATGTTTTCAGACATTTACTCTTAGGTTATCTCAACTGAATGAAACAACAGTCTTAGGGAGTGTGTAATCAGTATAAGCACTTCCACTTTAAGGAATGAAGAAAAAAGAAGATAATAATTTCAATCAAATTAAGTCAGCAATTCACAGACAGGACTCTTGAATCACCTCATCAACCAAGAGTTCATTCTTTGCTACTTCTAAAGACATGTTCCTGGGCAGTTAAAGTAAGTAGGGTCCTGTCCATGAAGACTCCTTAACACTTAACCACTGTCCTTTACCCTCCTGTGGATCTTGCTCACAGTGTTATCCATACCAAGCTTCCAGCCCATCATCTCAAGGATAGTGAATATTAATTACAGATAAGGAACTTAAGAAATAATTAAGGCGATGAGCTGGTGTGTGATAGCCCTGTGCTAAGCTATCTCTGGAACAAGAGGGCCTGATATCTTGTTTTCATTTCAGTTCATGACCTGAATGCAGTTTGCTAATGAATCAGCTGAGTGCACTTAATGTAACTTAGAATATGTTATTTTAGCTTCCTGTCTCCATCGTTTAGGTTCCTGTCACCTCCAGTTGCAATGAATATTTGACAAAATGCCTTGGGGCTCTCCCCAGCTTCTTCTAAACACTCCTGCATTTTATTTTCTAAAAACAATCAGGCAGACCCCTTAGATTCAGCGTGGAGCCTCTCTCAGTCACAGACGGCTCAGCAAGGTCCTCTCTCACCCCTGGAGGGTGGAATACCTCCCCATACTTGTCTGGATGCCTGCCCGGGAGGGGTGCTGGCCCCTGGGTCAGCCTTTGCTCCTGAGTGAAACACAGCCAATCTCTCTGCCTCCAGGAGGGCAGACACACTCTCAGCCAGGAGTGTGACCACTCCGAGCCCAACAGATGGGAGATATGCCATGAAAAGATGGCCGGTGCCCAAAACCTGGGCTGGAGCCTAGTTCCACATTCTCCACTGAGCAGGAGACCTGAGCCGCAGCCCCTGACCTGGGCCTCAAGAATTAAGTGAAACCGCTGGGCTACAGCTCCGAAAGCCCGCCACAGCTCGCCGCCTGAGGGTAGACAGTCACTCTGCCTCTGTGGCCCTGGTAGGTCGCCATCAAGTGAAGTGACAAGAAGGACCCTCCCCATCACCTTCCCCCCACTCCTCCGTTGCACTGTTGGGTGAAAGCTGACAAGGAGCCTAGCAGAGGCCAGGATCAGACAGTGCAGATTGGCACAGGCCCCGTGCTGCAGGCACACTGTGCGGTTTAATATCCTTAAGGTGGAAACTGGGCCTATTTGTGGGGAAATGTTATCTTGATGGAATGTGAACTTTCTCTCCATCATCTGTGGGCCTCAGTCATATGAGGTAGAAAAGAGGCACCTGTGGCGCTTGCCACAGAACAGGCTCCAGGAGTTCTGGCTGAGGTTCTCCAGAGGCAAACAAGGAGCCAAGGTAAGGAACAATAGGGCGTCCTTGGCAGAAGGCTTCAGAGCTGATCTCATGCTTTATTTTATCCTATGAAACATGCCTCTGGGTCAGGCTCATTCACAACCTGAATGAGCCCAAGGACCAGATACAGGATCTTTTCTGTCCCTCTGGGAGTATTGGGAAAGTTGGCTTAACTCCATAACATCCGTTTCCCTGTATGCAAAATTAAAGATTGCACTGAGTCCTAAAATGTCCTGTAGTGGTTCCAAGAAGATATGAATCCCCAAGTTCATTTTCCAACCCAGAAACATCCTTGGCCAGAGAACAGCCCGTCAATACCAACGCTTGCCGCCAGAGGGCGCGCGGCCACCGCCAACGCCGACACAGGCTGTGGCCGCGCTGTGCGGAGCTGGCCCAGTTGGCAGGAAAGCCCCGCTGGAGGGCGGCAGAAAGCCAGAACCATCTCAGCCTCTCCCCTATTCCTTGGACACGAACAGTAGTGACTCGTTCATCTCTGCCCTGCACAGAGTAGCAAAGCCCTGTAGTTTATGGAAATGAGTTCAGCAAAAGAAGGCCATTTACCACTATTCTTTAAGACCCTGAGAAAAAGTGTAGATTTTTTAAACCAACAATGTTACTTCTGGTAATTTCTCCTGAGGAAATAAATATGTCCAAAATAGCAAAATAAAATAAAATAAAATAAAAAATAAAGCATCTGTGCGCTACTCTTACTGGCGCAGAGGGCCCAGGCAGAAGCAGAACACAGACGCTCCCCCTCCCCTGTTTTCTGGAGTTGTGACCCCCGTGCGCTGAGCATCTTCAGACACCAGGAGTCAGCTTGAGGGCAGCAGAAGCATTGCAGGATTTGTGGGCGCTCACCAGGCCTGCTCTGCCCTTGGTTGTGGGCAGTCTGAGCCAGAGATCCAGGTAAGATCAGGAGTTGTGTAGGGAGAGAAGCCCGCAGGCGGCTGTTCACTCAGCCGCCCTCAGCCCCAGGTCCACCTTCAGCTTGGGGACTTTCCTGCTCTGCCCTGGCTCTAAGTCACTTTGAGCAGTGGCCAGGCATCTAGGAAGAGCTGCAGGGAAAGTGGGGCTTTGCAAGCCTCCTCTTTAACACACTACTGCCACCTTTCTCATCTAAGGCCTGGGCGACCCAGGGACACTCCCCTGAGACTGGCCACAGCTGGTCAAAGCCCAAAGCCCAAATCCCTGTCTTTTGTCTCCCAACCTCCAGACTTTGCTGATCCCCCTCCTCCTCTGTCCCCTTCCTCTTCCCCACTTGGAGTTCCCTGTAGAATCCAGCCAGCAGATGGACAAAGCCCTGAGCAACTCCCCCCCTCATGCGACCTCACAGTGCAGCCAGCAGATTCTCAATGGAGCACATGATCCACGCATATCCAGGGACAATGGAGGCAGCAGAATTAAAGAACAAGGATCGAGAAGCTGAAAAGTGCCCACCTGTATCCCCAGCCTCTGATGGAGCACCTCCTCTTACAGTGTCATCCCCTGCCATCCTCTGCCCCTCAATCACAGAACCTGAGACCAAAACAACAACAACAACAACAACAACAACAACCTAGCAGGTCCCCGATAGGCAGCACAGTGCTGTGCAAAGAGCCTGACCAGGGATCAGAACACCCAGTCCCTCCTGAAGCCACAGTCCTCTTTGCCACTGGAGCCTCACAGGCCTCCTCTGGAACTTGAGCAGAACTGCTGAGTTTGTTGATTTCAAATGACAAAGCATGAGGGAGACTGTTGGTGAATGATGGGGGGAGCACCGGGTGGAAGATACGGATGCTCTGTTACCCAGTGTGGGAACCTTCTTAAATCAGATGAGACACAGCGAAAGTGACTTGGAATTATTTTTAAAGGTGGAAAAAGCATATCTCCCACTTGAATACCATGTGTAGAGTGATTCAGTGGTTAAAATACACACACGCATACACATGTACACCTTTACACGGGGAGATTCACTATACAAGGGTTACCTGAGTGCATCTTTAAACCACCCACATGTGAAACAGACCCCATTCAAACTCAGTGTCTTTAACCTTTGAGACTAAAGCTGAATTCTGCAGACCAGGGCAGCCGCACCTGTCTTCTTGGAATCTTTGATAGACCAGAAATGCAGAAATGTAATGGGCTTGTCCCATCACCCCCCTGAGAATGATATGTGTCACCTGATCCCAACCCATGTTAATGCTGTGGGCAGAGAACAGCTAATCCAGGGCAGACTGCTCCAAGCCACAAGCAGACAGAGTCAGGCAGCCTAGCCTCCCCTGAGCCCAGCCAGAGTCAGCCCAGCCAGAGGTGGCACCTGTCCTGTGGAGGCACTGCAGTGACAAGTGGACGAGATGTTTTTCACAGAGGGAGATACTCCTCTCAAGAGACCATAGTTCATACACTTTTAACAGCTCAAAGTATTAAAATTCCTCTTTTGGAACTGCCCTCAGAAACCCCTCCATATGGCACAGAAAGGTCTCTCTTGGAAAGAACAGCTGAACAGCAACACTTATTCCCAGTCAAGGAAAGTGAGACCTCTGGGACTCAGAAAGTGCACTCACACCCTCAGCCACCTCCTTTGCTCCAGGGAGAAGAAAGAGTTCCCTGGAGGGCCATAAACGAATCTCTAAACTCCTGTCGGTCCTCAGGGAGGCTGGATGCCATCCAAGCACATGGTTGCACGTGGCCTCTTCATCGGATGCCAAGCATGTGTTAGATCACCTGCAGGTGACTCCCAGGTGACACCACTGGAGGCTGTCACATGTCTCACCTGCAGGGAAACATGCCTGTCTCAGCGAAGTCCAGAATTCACACTGAGTGGTCTGCCCCACAGATGGGGCAGCAAGAGCAGAGTGACCTCGCTGGTTACCCACAGGAAGGCCTCTGGGGGTACACAGAGGATCACTGTAGCCTGGGCTGGGGCCATGCAAGACTCAGACTAGGTACGCCCAGTATCCAGGGCAAATGAATTCCGGTTCTAGCCTCCAAGGGACCAGGCACATTCTCCAGGAATACCCAGCACCACCCTGTTGGTCAGCTTTAGGCTACTATCATAAAATACCTGAGATAAGTAACTTATAAAGAGAAAAAGTTCGTTTTATCTCATGGTTTTGAAGATTTCAGGCCATGACCCAGTGGCCCTGTCACCTTTGGGCCTGTGGTGAGACAGCACAGGCAGGAGCATGTGGCAGAAAGAAGGAGCAGGGCAGAGTCCCAGAGTCCCCTTCAGGCGTTTGTCCCCAGGGACCTGAAGGCCGCCCAGTAGGCCTCACCTCCCAAGGGCTCCACCACCTCCCAGCAGTGCCACCCTGAGGACCAAGCCTGAGAGACACAGACCCTGGGGGACATTCAGGACCCCAACCACAGTAGCTGCTGGGGCCTCTCAGCTCCAGTTTCTGTGATAAGATTCCTCTCGGTTCATATTGAACGTGCCACCAGGCAGATGAGGCCCCTGAGTGGAGAGACGTGAAGTCACCCCCTGGAGCCACGCAGCTTGGGCAGAGCAGCTCTGTTCCGATCTGCCAGGGGGTCTGCAGAGATGCAACTTTAAGGCTTAAGAAACTTGAGACCATATGACAAGTCACTGATGGGCCCAGATGGGTTCCCAGCCTGCCCCGCTGTCCCTAAAACAGAGGCACAGTGTCACTTCCGGCTCTGTCTTTTTAATAAATGGAGATGGTAAGAGTCACCAGGGTCAGAGCATTGTTAGTCGAAGCCCCCGAGTCAGGAATGGCTTTTCATGTCACACGCCGCAGCTGCAGTGGGGTGCGGGTCGTCACCCAGACTTGAGAGAGAAGGAGACAGGAACTTCACCACGGTAAGAGCTGCTCAGGACTGCAGGCTCATATCATGCACTAGGAGCTGGCGTGACCCTTCCTTCTCTCCTTGGTGGGCATGTGGGAAAGGACTCGGGCTCCTGCCAAGCCTGGGGTATTCCTGGATTTGCAAGGTGGGAAATGAGCTCTGGGCTTTATGCTGCTAAAACCCCTGGGGAGTCACCTCGAGGCATTTAAAAGGACTGAGAAGGGAAGATGTCCACAGGGGCCCGGCAGGACAGTTCTGGAAAGCGGGGGACGTGCTTCTGCAGGAGCTGGGCATCGGGAGCAGCTGCACTGGAGACTCCACATTCCCAGGCGCAGGCTTCGCTGCCGTTCCCACCTCCACGAGCTTGAGCCTCCTTCATATTTCCCCATGGAGAACTGGAGGGCCTGCGGGCCTGCACCGCCACCTCTCGGGCCTGGACCTCGGGGGGATCTGCATGTGCAGCCAGCAGCAGAGGAGCAGGCTTCTCCCAAGCAGGGGAATCTTTCTTCACCTTCGGGCGAGGCAGGATGTTGGGTGCAGGAGAGGAGAGGGAAGGCGGGTGCAGCAGCCCGGGGCCCTCCGGTGGGGCCTCCCAGAGCGGGGAGCTGGAAGCGGGTCCAGCCTGGCAACGGGGCATGGCAGAGAGGAAGACTGAGGACCCCAGGGAGCGAGCCTGGGGGGGGGGAGCGTCTGCAGACAGCAAAGCCAAGCAGGCTTTGCCCTGGGGCAGGAGGAGCCCTAGGCGGGAGGGAACTGAGGTGGCCTTGATTCCGAACCCCCTCCTCAGCAGCTAACCTGACCACCACACAGACAGCCTGAAACTAGCCACAGGATGCTCATGGTGCTCGGGGCTGGCCCCAAGGTCCCCAAGGTGGCCTCCAAGGCCCCTCCTAGCACTCCCACCTGCTGCTGTTGCCGGGCAAGTCCAGCCCAGAGCGTCCTGAACGTCCAGGCTGCTTCATTTCCCAGACCTGGCTGCTCCGCTCCCCGTGCCTGGACCCTCCCACCTTCCCTCCTTCACCCCTAGGTCTCAGCTTTGGCCGCGGCTCCTCTGAAAGGCCGCTTTCAAGGCCCTGGGTGGCCTTTCTCGGCATCTGTCACTGCCCAGCGACTATCTCCCCTGGTCATTTACCCTCCCCAGACGCCCAAGCCACCCAGAGCTGCGACTTGCACACCATGCTTTCCTGACACTGAGCTCCACATCTACTTTACATTTGTGGAAAGAAGGAAGAACCAGAGGGAGGAGGAGGAGGAGGAAGTCATGAAGGATGGACCTGGAGAGCCAGCCCGGTGGTGGCTTCTGGAGGGGTGACTTGTACCAGCTCCACCAGAAGTGGGGGGAGGACCCTGCCCTTTCTGCCTGCGTCCAGTCGGCTCAGCACCTGGAGCAGAGGGAGGGAGGGAGGCTGTGGAGGGACACACTGGCTGCTGGCCAGGTAGGGGACAGCCGGGAGGAAGGCAGAACAGGGAGCAAGGAAAGCCTGGACGCCCTGGCTGGTGCAGGGCTTGGACGGGGAAGCAGGAAAAGGGCTGCAGCCTGCAGAAGGCATTTCTGCACCTCTGTGTCTTCCTTCCTCTAAGGAGGGAGTGTCGCTCCCATTCCTTTCACAGGACTCACGCGTGCTCCCTCCAGCTGAGGGGGACAGCATGACGGGGAGCACAGGAGGAAGGGCCACCCAGGGACTGGAGCGCAAGTTCACACGGTGAGACTCGGAGGGGAACTGGTCCTTTCCCAGTGGACAGACACCATTGAATGAGCCAGCCCAGGGCTTCCTGGAATCCAGGGTTGCCTGGCCAGGTGACAGCAGAGAGTCATGGTGACTCAGAGGACAGGAGGCTTGAAGCTGGGTGTGGTGCACTGCACGGGTGAGCATGACCAAAGGAACTAGAAAAGCCTCGCATTTCACTCATGCCGTCACCGTGTGGTTTAGGGAGGGGCCGGAGGGGCCCGGGTTCCTCCTGCGGGTCCAGGGAACTCCTTCTCTAGGCTGGCTGAGCGTGCTTGCCCTTGGGGAATCCACCCCGTGGTCCTGCTGCCCTGCATCCCATCTTTAGGATCACGGTGGCCAAGGCTCCCCATCAGGACCTGACTGAGTGACTTGCCCGTGTGGCTCCTGAGCTATTTTTATTAAGATGCCTGAGTGCGCTCATTGCGTTTCCAGAGCGGAGAATCATCACCTGAAGTCACCGCAGTTCCAGCTGCACAGGGTCTTGGGTGCCTGCCCTGTCCCTGCATCCCTGTGGGCCAGTAGGTGCTACCCTTGCCAGTGGCTCACAGAGGACAGTGAAGGCTCTGCCCTCGCCACACGTCCCCAACGCACCCACACTCCTGCCCCAGACCCGTCTACCTGCACCGACACACAGGGTGTCTTCTGAAGTCTCTGCACATTTCTTTAGAGAAAGGCAAACAAATTTTCGATATTGGTTCCTCCTGAATCTAAAAGGAAACTCTCTCTGCTGAAGTCCTGTAAAAAGCCACTTTCCCCAATGCGCTCGCTCTTGTCCCAGGCGCAAGTTCTTGCCCCAGAGTGTCCCTCCTCCTCCAGCCACCCTCAGGCTCTCCCCCATCACCTGGGAATCTCCACTTCTTCCACGGTGCGGCTGGCTCACCTCCCTCCTGACCCAGCACCGTGGAACAGGCTGCAGCGGTCACCAGGAGCAGCCGCAGGACAACCGTGAGCTGTTAGGGACCCTCCAGCTGCGAGAACACCTGGCCTCATGGGGCACTTTCTAGTGGTGGGGGCCCAGCCCCTCGGGTCCCTCAAGCCTGCTCCCCCGCTCATTCATTTGGCTCATAAACCTGCTGGAGGGAGCACCGGTACAACTCCCAGACAGGCGTTGGGTTTGAGGAGCGTCCCATCCTAACTCACAGTGAGGAAGGAAATACTTCCCTGATGACTCACATGCTCCTCACTCCCCAGGAGCTAGGAACCCACTGTTCAGGAAGCAGCCCTGGGTTTCTCTTCCAGGTGGGCTGGGATGACTGTGGCACACCACACCGTCATCCTCTCTGTCTCTCAGGAGGCGTTGAAGTGGGAGTCAAGATCCAAAGCAGTGAAGGTGTCTTCCTGAGGAAGACGAGGAGGGTGAACCCGAGGAAGCTCAGGCCTTCCAAGAAGAGCAAATAAAGCACCGTGTAGGGAACAAACTGCCCCTCGCTCATTTTGTGAAATAGCCTCCTGGGAAAGAATGGGCCTCTTAACAGGGGCTGTCTCCCTAGGACAGAGAATGGCCACAGGGCTGCCTGCCCGTGCTCGGGAAAGAGAAGAGGAACAGAGGAGGGACCACCATTCCCACTCTCAGAACCTCCCACCTCCAAACAACGGAACCTCAGTACCTTGACTTCATCGGCAACTTGTACTAGTCCACGTTTGCTGCTATGACAGAGCACCACGGCCTGGTAGAAATGAGAAGAAGTTCGTTCGTTGGGCTCATGTTTCTGGAGGTGGGAACCAGATGGAGACATGAGCACCTGCTGTGCCGTCATGTGGTGGAAGGCTAGAGAGCAAGGGGGCGGAACACATCCCTCTAGACGGAACCCATGAAGGCACTGGTGCACTCAGAGACAGAGACTCCACGGCCTCCTAGCCTCCTGCTGGGCCCCACCTCCCAGCGTTGCATGTTGGGGTTCAAGTTTTTAGCCCAGGAACCCTGGAAGACACATTTAAGTCAGAACACAAAGGAACCGTGAAACAGGAAGAATCCTGGTGTGTGATCCCCCCCTACAATTCCAGCCGCTGTGGCTGAGACAGGAGGATCCAGGTTTGAGGCAACTTAGCAAGGTCCCGCCTCAGAATAAAAAGGACTAGGGTCCGTCTCAGTGGTAGAGCACACCTGGGCTCAATCCCCACTGCCAGAAAGGAGAGGGAGGGGCGCACAGGGAGGGGAGGAGGAGGAAAGAGAAGAAACAGGAAAACGAGGTCAAAGTGTTAATAGAAAGTCCTCACCTATCAGAGTTACACAGCATGGGAATGGTAAGTCCTCCAGCCAGAAGACCCAGAATGACGTAGTGGTTTGAAAAGAACAACAGGATCCAGTTACATCGAGGCTCGGGCTGAAGATGAAGAGATGGAAGACACCCCCAGGCAAATAGAAACCAAAGGAGAGCAGGGCCATCACACTTGTACCACACCAAACAGACACTAAGCCAAAGCTGGGCAGGGGGCACCGGAGGGCACCAGGCAATGATGAAGGAAACTTCACAAAGAGGACAAAATGATCGTACATTAATAAAGCCAGTGTTAGCAGAACCAAAACAAGATAGAGACAGGTTTTCAACAACATTATGCGACTTTTTGGTCCCCTACTTTCAACACTGGTTGGACGTATGTGGGACTAGCGTTATGGAGAGCAGTATGGCGGGTCCACCATGAACGATAAACAGAACCGTCCTGTGACCCCACAATCATATTTCTGGGGTATTTTTCTAAGGAATTGAAGTCAGTATTACAAATAATTAATTGCATTCTTATGCTTGTTGCATTACTGACAATGACCAAAATATGGAAACTTCAATGTGCCTTAACAGATGAATTGACAAATAAAATGTGATATATACACACAAGGGAATATCAGCCGTGGAAACCGAGAGAACCATCCCATACACAACATCACAGATGGACCCAGAGAACATGATCCTATGTGACAAGACAGCCAGAGACAAGGACTGCATGGTCTCACTTACATGGGGAGTCTGAAGCCGTCCAACTCATAGAGCAGAGTGTGGACAGGCCGTCTGCTCTGGACAGGAGTTCCAGTGCCGTGTGGAGCAGCAGTAGTGAGCGTGGGCTGCGTGCCCGGTTCCCGCTGTCAGAGGAAAACTTCTGGCTGTTCTGTCCTCTCCCAGAACAACCTGCAGGCCCCTGCAGGAGCTCCCAGCTGGAAACTCCCCCAGCTGAGGAGGGGTCTCCAGGGCTGGAAACCCTGCTGCCTGTGAGGAAGACACCAAGGCATTCTCCCTCCAAGATGGAGACACCATCGAGCAGAACAGAGAGAGAAAACAGGGTAAGAGAGGGACACAAAACCCCAAAGGCAGAGAGAGAACCATGACAGTGGGAGCACCGCAGGGAGGACCGGGCCAGATGGCCAGAAGCAAGAGGCCGAGCCCGGGAAGGGAGGGTACAGTGGGAGTCAAAACAGAGGACCACGTTCAGGATACACCAAATAACATGCTTGGCCACGCTGTATGCTCTTCTGTCCTATTTCTTTGTTGAGCAAATGTGTGGAGTTTTGTGGTGGTAGGTAGGCGGGGGTCTGGAGCCTCTCTCCACCTGTGCCCAGGGCAGAGGCCACAGCAAAAGAGCCGGACAGTGAGACTCTAAAGAGGAACTCCAGGGAGCCGAGTGGGCCAGCCTCTGACGCTGTGCACCTGTCTTGAAAAAGACCCAGTCTGGAGAAGCTAACGGAGACCAACCGGTCAGAAGTGACCACCCTGGCTATCCCAGGGCCCTGTCCTGCCCAGTGGGCACAGGATGTTCCTGGCAAAGAGGACTGGCAACCTTTGCCCCTAACTATCAAAATCCAGGCCACTATCAGAGTTATCCTTCTCAAACATGTTCCGTGTTTGAGAACATAGGACACTTGATTGATTTTCCCCCAGATGGTATAGGCTGTCATCAGGCACACAACTGAGCATGTGTCGTGAGCTAGGCACACATGTGTACGGCTTTCAGAGTGGGAAAACAGCCTTGGCACTAGGCCACGGCTTTTTGTTTTTGCTTCTGTTCTTTTAAACATTTTGTTGTTGTTGTTGTAGATGGACACAATATCTTTGTTTTATTTATTTATTTTTTTATGTGGTGCTGAGGATCGAACCCACATAAAAAAAGGACTCAAAACTACTGAGCTACAACCCCAGCCCTAG